CCACGCCGGACCGAAGGGCCCTCCTCTTTTCAGCCTTGTCAGGTGCGCCGGCTAATTGCTAACCTCCTTTGTGCTGTCTTTTGTACCGACATTTTTTCCCCAAATACCTGCTTTTAACAGAATCCAAATCGACTTTTGGACATCGGCAGGAGTCAGGAGCAGCTGTTTTAATGATAGCTGCAGAATGGACGTCCTAAAAGTACTAGCACACCGGCCGAGCTGAACTGGAGTAATTACTGCCATTGCATTGTCCCTTTTGTCTAACGTATTTCCATCCAATTTAGGTGGCACTGCAAATGCTATCTGACAGTTTTGAGCTCGTCAGAAAAAAACCTCATTTACCATCAGCTGTTGCAATTTACCTATAAGTGTGGCTGAACTCTCACAGAGCCCCAGCGCCCATAAATGTATGTATCAGATGTCTGGGTGTAGCGGAAAGGAGAGCCGCAAGCAGGGCTGTCTGCCATTACACACTGAAGGACCTGTTTCTGAACATAGTGACCCAGTCTGCGCAGTTATGATTTACGCGCCTGTACCTGAGGCAAATGGTGGGATTTGTTATTCAGGGGGAAAACTATGAAAAAAATTGGGGCTGTCCAAATTGGAACATAGGAAGTCTAATTATGGTGAATTATCGCTTAATAGCAGGGAGTTCCTCAGGACAAAAATGGGCCTTTCAGGGTAATTTATAAAGCACTGAGTTTGGATGCCTTTGAAATAAACAAGGAAATGGATTGGATGCCCATGTAATAAACAAATGACTGGATTGGATTCCACTGTAATAAGCAATGACTGGATTGGATACTCTTGTAATAAACAAGTGACAGGATTGGATGCCCTTGTCAATAAGAAGTGACTGGGTCACTATAATTACTGGGATATTGCACTCCTCCTTAAAGAAATTCTGGGATAAAGAAAATATATTTATTAGATATATGGGCAGTGCCTGGTGAGAGATCCTGTAATATTTCTCTTATTGTATTCCTGTTGTCAGGAGCTCAGGCCTGTACCCTGCAGAGCAATGGCATGACATAGACATGTGTGACCCAGACCTGTGTGCAGGTCTCTCTGCTCTCCATTGACATTTTCCGTGTGTCACAGATGACATCAAAGGCAGCATCAAAAGACTGTTGGCCAGGCAATGTTTTTTGGCCTTTTTAGAAAGGGGAAGAGTGTAAATAGCTCACCCATAGTAAGGCTGGTAAGGAAGAGAGCGAGAGAGAGAGAGAGAGAGAGAGAGGGGGGGGGGGGGGGGGGGGGGAATGGGAAGTCACCAGGAGTGGCATCATCTGCACAGACAGACTGGTTGCTCACATACTTAATGGTCACACAGTTCCCTACTCTCTGCATTGTACACGGTTACAGCTCTGGTCTGGATGATCACAGTTAATTTCTGCATCACTAGAGGTTTGTATTACCAGCCAAGAAAACACTTCCAACTTCTACTTAGAGACAGCAATTCAGCTTGAAGAAGTCTTTCTTTTTGCAAAAAAAAAAAAAACTATGGCAACTGCCCTTGGGGCACAGGAAAAGTAGGGATGCTTCCAGCACGAAACACTCCACTGCCCAAATCCTGCGTAGATCCAATTCTTGTTTCTGTCAACTAGCCAAGTGTAGCAGAATAGATGTGTCATGTTCATGGCTGGTCTTTTCAGAGGCGTATTGTGCAGTTTCTCTAAATTGGTAGTAAGTACCAGCCAATTATCATACGTCTATATAAGGGTGAACAGTGGCCGTCGTAGGGCACGTCTGACGCTGAGGGCCTGCACCGTCTCCGCTTTACCTCACCTCTGGTGTCGTTTCAGGTCCTCGTAGTGTCGGAGGCTACTATCTTGTGGATCGCTGTCGGTGATAGCTGGTGCTAGCAGGATGTTCATAGGCTTACTCCTTCACTGGGTTAGGATGCCCCGGATCGGGACAGCAAGCTTGGGTTGGGGTTTGGCAGTTTGATCAAGTCATGCTCTAGTCATGCTGCAGGGACGCTGCTGCTGCTGCTTTTCCTATACTGCTGCTGCTTAGCCTATACCATGACTGCTTTGCATATACCGCTGCTGCTTAGCCCACAGCACAGCTGCTTTTCCTATACCGCTGCTGCTTAGCCTATACCATGACTGCTTTCCATATACCACTGCGGCTTAGTCCACAGCACAGCTGCTTTTCCTATACCACTGCTACTTAGCCTATACCATGACTGCTTTGCATATACCGCTGCTGCTTAGCCCATAGCACAGCTGCCTTTCCTATACCGCTGCTGCCTAGCCTATGCCATGACTGCTTTGCATATACTGCTGCTGCTTAGTTCACAGCACAGCTGCCTTTCCTATACCGCTGCTGCCTAGTCTATACCATGACTGCTTTACATATACCGCTGCTGCTTAGCCCACAGCACAGCTGCTTTTCCTATACCGCTGCTGCCTAGCCTATACCATGACTGCTTTTCCTATACCGCTGCTGCTTAGCCTATACCATGACTGCTTTTCCTATACCGCTGCTGCTTAGCCTATACCATGACTGCTTTTCCTATACCGCTGCTGCTTAGCCTATACCATGACTGCTTTACATATACTTATTCTTTTCTTTTCATTTCATTTCTTTATTACACCACTGGCCCCTCTTTCCATTCCAGAATTCGGGATGTATTGCAGTGTTTCACGTCACGCAGAAACCACCACTGGGATCTTCAGGCCACACGTTTCTTTTTCGGTACCAAACACCGTTCACAATGCTCATTCATACAAGGGGCTGTTACCTCTTACTATTTGACTCAACGGCATGCAGGGAAAAATACTGCTAAAGCTTCAATGTGTTCTGAAAGCCATTTTGGGGAAGAAAAACACTTGATAAAATCAAAGGGTCTTTTCATCTTTCATTTAAGAAAAAAAAGAGTAGCTGTAAAACATCCCCCTTATCTACTGTTTTCACATTGGATCTGGGGTGACTTTGAAAGGGGCTGAAATGTATTGCTATAATTTCTACTTGCTTTCCTTGATGTCAGTCTAACGATGCCTCATATGGTGTCACTCAGCTCAGTCCAGTTTACTTTAAAAGTGCTCTTTCTAACACAGTTTCCCCAGGGAGCTTTTACATATGCATGTATAAAAATACTGTGCAAACAGAACAAATCTGAGAACAGAACAGCGGAAGAGAGGAACAAGTGCTCCTTACCTCCGACTAGTGGAGGGAATCCCCTGGGGGTCAAAGGTCAACCAGCCGCCTAACCCTCCGGGAAACGCTAAGCATGTTAGTTCATTGGGAAATATAGTATAATAGATTTCACCCTGATTTCATCCTCTGTCCATATAATGGAAATGAGGGAAGTCAGCATATTTGAAATATGAAAAGTAAAGGGTACCAATCTAAAACCCATAAATCTTATGTTACCTTTATCAAACCATCGGGACAGACCTTCAAACATGGTCTTCATACTGCTTCTGCGCTGTCCTACTCAACTAGTGAAAGGATTTCTACTTAATAATGAATGGTCTGGGTTTTTTTTTCGAAGATGTAATTGCAAGATGTCTTCTGGGCTGTAGGCTTCATTTGTCAAACCCATCCATTGTCCATATCTGCTTGTCCAATCCCTGATCTTCAGCCATAATTAAATATATGTCAAGCATTTAAAGACCAAAACTAAAATACTGCAGTCTAAAAGATAAGATTTTCATGAGCGAGTATGACCTTGATTACATCAGTTTTTTTGACTGCAGATTTGAAAATGCTAAAGTATAGCATTTTATGGAATTAAGTTCAAAACTAGATTTTACTAGATACTAGAAATAGATCACTTTGCAAACTTCAGTTTCAATCTGACGGACAATCAGCTTCTGTGTGGTTTTGCACTAAAAATCATGTTTTTTTTTCAGTTTTAATGTTCATTTTCATTAGTAGCTCTGAACAAACATTAGATTTTCAAGTGGATTAGATATTCCTACATGACACCTTGTTTTCTGGCCTGGACTTTTGGATTTTCACATTTTGCCTGCCATATTGCTGTTAAAAATTCATGTACTAGCTAGCTCTGCTAGAGGTAAAACGTGTACAAGAAGCAAGCAGTGAATAACCCTTGTAGTAGGGATAGTATTCTGAATGATAACCCCTTTGTAGTACAGTTAGTATACTTGTGAATGACAGCCTCCTTGTAGTAAAGTTAGTACTATTCAGAATGACTGCTCCCTTCTAGTAAGATTATTACTCTTCTGAATGACAGCCTCCTAGTAGTAAGGTTAATGCTCTTCTAAATGACAGCTCCCTCGTAATAAGATTATTATTCTTCTGAATGACCGCTCCCTTGTAGTAAGATTATTACTCTTACAGTCCCCTATTAAGAATGTTATTACTCTTCTGGAACAGCAAACACCTGCTTGTGAAACATTCGCACAGACTGACTGCTTGTACACATGAAAATGTGCAAAAGCATCCCAGTCTTATAAGAATACGCGTTTTCTCACACGTAAGGTTGGCTCAGTTTGAGTCAGCGCCGCAAATGCATGCAGGTGGCGTGCTAAATGAACCATAACAGCAGCAGTCAATCCGGTGATGAAGTATCCTTAATCATTAATAAGTAACGAGCCTCATTTGTCCCTCGTCGCGCTACATCCTCACATCCCAGCTGGTAGAGCAGCAGGTGTGTCAATGGGCCCGTGCTTATTATTGGTTAACTGTTAATGGATCAATGATTCACTGACACTCCAATGATAAGTGTTGTAACATTTACATAACATCACGTAATATATAATGGTGCTGAAGGGTTTCTATGACAGCCGTGTCCTTTGGATGCCTGCAATTTGGAACCTGCTTTGTCTTTGACACTGAAGGGCCTCTTCTGCGCGGCACGAGTAAACAAAGTGGTTTGCTTTTTGTCTGACCTCAGGGCTTTAGTGTGGCTCTTCAAATCACAGGAAGAAAGGGATCAATGTGGAATCGCTCAAGGAACTGTGGATACTTGCGGAATGGACCAGAGCAGGGTGGTATGGCATCAGGTCATTCCTGAATGACACGGCTCCTTTAAAATATTTATTTATTGATTTACACAGTTTCTGATTAGCAGAGAAGATAGAAGAAAATAAGTCCCAACATTTTATTGCTTTTTAAAATCAACCTAATAAATCAATTGTTTATAAACGTCTAAATTGCAGGACAATATTAACAAATATTTGAGTTGTTACTTAAATTCCTCACATAATCCATTGATCCACCTTCCAAAACTGCTTATCCAGTACAGAACTGCAGTGTTCATATACAAGTGAGTCATTATCAATAACTGATACACACTGTACATAAATCCTTTCACTGCAGCAGTTGCACAGTGACACGGCTGCCTAATGAACAACTGAATGGACACCTATCCGAACTGCTGCAAGAATTTTTTCCCCCTCACTGCAGAAATCCAAAAGTGCAAAATTAAAATTAAAGTCAATGACATGAATTAAAAGTCAAAGTCATGCATTTCGGCAAGCTGGCCTCATGCACATGCTCATGCTGTGTGCCCTGCAATTAATCGGCATCCTGTCTAATGTGTACCGCTGCCTTGTACCACCTGGGACACGCCCCCCCCCCCAGAAATTTCCCAACCTTGTACAGGACAAGTGGCTTGAAGATGGATGGATGGATCACAAATATATTTTTTTAAATAATAAAAATACAATTAAGCGTGCATTTCTTGTCTATATGACACTTAATTCCAGAAACACATCAGTAGTGTTACCAGCTAATACAGGGTTTGTACATTGTCTACAGTTTCAATGGTTGTTAAATCATTTCATCAGCAAAGTCCTCAGCCTACTAAAACCAGTTTAAAACCAGTACTCCACAAACTACTGAGCTTAAATAAACAGATTTTTAAAAAACCTTTAATGAAAGCAATGTTGCCATACAGTGGTACTTGTCATTAGCTGGAGCAATCATGTAGAGTAGAAGCTTGTTGAAATCAATATTTGCCATTAAATGGTAGACACATGATCGACGCAGCCTTTTCCCAACACCTGGACGAAAAACACAGCAGCAGGATGAGGTCAAGAGGTAAAAAAAATTCAAATTCAAATTTTTTAATTTTAGCTTCACATAATGGTTCAATAATTACAATGTTCCCAGTGGAATACTAACGTGCTAATCACTTAGACAAATGTCAAGCAACGCTCTGTGGTTACAGTTGGTTTTATATGAAATATCCTGCCTATTCTGTGGAGACTCTGGCCTTACGATGAAAGACAAGCCTTAAAAATGCGTTATTTCTTACTCTCTACCCCTGATTTTTATTTTATTTTTTTTAAAGGTGGCAGGCACAAAAGGAGCTAAAATTCATACAAAGGGAGAAACTTCATCAAGCCAATGATTTGTTTTCAATCTGTGAGGGACTGGGGAGGGGGCACTCCAGGGGCCAATCAGCTTTCAGGTCTGGCCCCGCCCCTTCATCTTAACATTTCCTAAAGCTTGTAATCTACATGTCTGTCTTTCTTACCTGCTAAAACTCTGGACAATTTAGAGTGTCAAATTCACCTAACTGTGTGTTTGTACCACGTGAGGAATGTAGAATACCTGAAGCAGACCAGCACAAATGCAGACTCTGCAGATAGACAGCGGAGGTGTGAGGCTGTTATGGTATTTACTGAGCAACCCTGAAGATGCCTTGTACATTTAAGTCTTATCTATACCTCTTCACTGTCCACATAAATGCCAGGGAAGCCTAACATCATGATCATTCAATCAATTAATATCATGAAATGGTGGCAGCCTGCTGAGAGAAGTAGGGACTCGGTAAGAGCTGCAGCGAGTGTGTAAAGACTCCCAACTCACCTTCAGAGAAGCAGGCAGTGCTTCCCCTTCGCCTTTGTGGGCTGGGGGCACAGCACGGCGCGGATGGCCTCGTCGAACACCGTCTTCAGGCCTCGCTGCGTCAGCGCCGAACACTCCAGGTACTTAACCGATTCTGTCCACCAGGGGGCGCAAAAGTCACTCAGATGCCATACGGTCGCTGAGATGGAGCATGGAGCACCACTTTGGGTTTGTTGGTCTTCTAGCCTTCCCCAAGACTGCGGCATCGTTCAGAAGGCAACTCCATCTCTATAACCACCAGGGTACTTTCACAGATGTAGGCTGATACACAGTAAGATACCCCTGACATACAGCAAATATTACCCTGTACTGGGTCGCTGTGAACTTGTAGCCTATCCAGGAAGCACCGGGCACAAGACAGAGATGGGTGGGACAGTGGAAGGAATCAACCCCATAACCCAGGGGTTGCAACCCAGTGAGCCAACACCCTGACACATAATGTCGGGCTATATTAAGTGAACCAGGGACACCTGATTGGCTAGCGCCATTTCCTGAAGTCCCTGTCTGAGCCGGAGAGGAAATGGGACATTTGAGTGTGCGTCTTTAAATAGTCCGAGTTCCCTGTCCTTTCTGAAATAGCCCACACCAGATATCAGGCAACTTCATCTTTTCTATGGACAACGTTTGCAGTGTATATCTTCAGTATAGACTTCCCTCAGCGTGTGCTTATATGCCATTTGATAGGCTGCCAGGATGTGTAAGGTACCCAGCATGATGCCTTGTGTGCATCTCAGAGGCAAACTGGTGGGCAGGACCTGGGCTACCCCCGGCCAATTTGGGCTACCCCAGCGAATTTGGCCCCCCCTCCAACAGTATGCGAAACATTGATGAGAAGTAAGGCACTGATGTCATGCACATTATACAGACTGGTAACATGCTATTTTTACAGTATATCTCCTCTTTTTATGTATAAAATATGGGAGTAATAGCACAAAAAAATATTTGGTAAATTACTTAAAACAATTTTGAGATGTAATAGTTTGTAATGTTTTATGTTATATGTAATGTCAAACTATGCTGTTGGGATATGTATTTAACGACAAAAGCATGCTTGTGGAATTTGCCAACTACTGCAGTGCATGATGGGTACTTTGGAGGCTACTTAAATTTTATTATTTGCAATTACTGCAACTGGTGTAGGTAGTCCCTAGGTGTGAATTTGGAAAGGGGGGGGGGGCACGGTCCATTTTAGCCCACGGCCCAGTGTACAATTCCGACACATCACTTTGGCCCTTGTTGCTGAATGTTTGCAAGATAAACATATCTAAACACATATAATACAGAAAATATTCACAGAAAAAAATTCTGTTGCATTTCATCTTAAAAATATTTTCCAGTGTTCCATAGCTATACTTGATATTCTCAATATAATTTATATAGTTAAATATCTTCAGCTATAAATAAAAGTTAAATATGTTCAGCTATAGTCACGACTGAATCACAAACAGATATTATCAGAACTCTTGCTATTTTAAATAAAAGCTCAGTTTAATTAAGGTGGAGATATAAAACAGACTAGGAACACAACACTTTAAAGTCAGTCAACCTCATAATTACTGCGCACATGCACAATGAAATGATATGAATTTTATTTAATGTGGATGGAAATTGTATTAAACAAGTAATTCTATGGCTTGGTTATGACTGTAAATGCCAGCTTTCCAAACAAATGTAAATACAGATAAGTATTTACCTTTATATTTTAATTGCTTGTAAAAAATATTTTTTTTATTAAAGCTTTGCCAGTTTTCAGCTCTGAAAAAAGGATTCCTTTCACCCACGAAAACTTTTCGTTGTCATGCGTCCACTTTAGCTAGAATTGAAAACCCTCATTTAGTGCTTGTTTCGTGAGTGAAATAAATCTGTGCTATACTGCTGTCATTTGAACAAGCAGAGTAGTAAATGGACAGTCCTACCTATCTCCTTGGCCAGCGCTAGGGCTTGTGGGAAAGTGATCGGAGAGAGTTTCTTCTCTTTGAGCTTCTCAATGGTTTCCTTGTCATCTCTGAGGTCCAGCTTGGTGCCCACGAGAATGATGGGCGTACTGGGGCAGTGGTGCCGTACCTCTGGGTACCACTAGGGGGAGTGAGAGAGCGATTTCTCAGTATGCGTACTTGACTACACTTGTGTTCTCATGTACCCATTTTATGCCATCTTCCACTGCCAAAGACCAGTTTCAGTCAAGAACAGAAGTACAAGGGATGGTAAAAAATCCCCGGATGTCCTTCTTTCCCCTCCCCGAATATCAAAGATACATCAGTTACATCCTGGCTGAACAAGACCAATCTCATGATTCATTGCGCCGCAAGTTCATTCTGGGGGGGGGGGAGTCAGCAAGACCGCTCTTGCCAAGACAACAGATACGAGGTCTGCATTCTTGGTATTGAGAAATACTCTGGGTTTTAACATTCCATTTTTCCCCCCCACATGACGCCAACATGTCGTTCAGTATTCAACCTCTGCACCAGCATTACAACTGGTGTAAGTCTTTAAATATTCCTCTTTCGGTCCATAAGGCAATAGGCCAGCTAGCATATTAAAAGTTATCAGGAATACATCTACCTGAAAAGTTGGGCACTGACAGGTTAGGATGATCAATACATTGTCCAATCTGTAAAGACGAATAAAGCTGAATGCTATGTAAAGCATTCTAGGTTTAAAAAGCACCCCCCCCCCAAAAAAAAAAAAAAAAACATAAAATATTAATAATCTAACACATGGAAGTCATATTTAAACATATCCAAGTAATTTATTATTAAATGGTGAGACCATGTAGTGTGGATTGAGTCCCCTGCCCCCCTCCCTCATGAAATCCCAAAGATTTCTACATTTCTTTTGGCTTTGTCAACACCTGCCTAGACATCGCAGGCTGCTGGAAGCGCACTCCAGTCCATATGGCGAATTTCAACAAAAACCAGCGATAATAACTGTAATCTGTCGCCGTGGAAAGTGGACAGCGAGGGGCTTCACTTGCGGATTCCCCGTGGCAGAACACCCGCATGCACTCTCTGAACTCACACAGGTCGTCAATAAACTTTCTAATCCTCCAGACACCTCATTTCAATTCAGCCTATGTTACCATGGAGACACGGTTGGAATAACTGCATGGGGAAGAGAAGGCTTGGAGAAACAGAAATCAATCTGAGATTTTGTTTTGGTGTTAAAAAATGAGGCACACGTGTTAGCAGGGAGCAAATTGGGCATTTATTTTTAGAATTATGCATTGTTCACTGTGTCGGCTGTAGCTGATTAGCTTTTAGTCCACTGATTTGCTGCTATTCACAAGATTGTGCAGAAAATTTGAAATTCATAATACTTATTCCCGATCTCAACTCGAGGCATGACTACTCATGTTATTAATAGCAACAGCTCATTGGAGTTTTACTAACACAAAAATGCACTGAGGGCAGAAGGAAAAATTATTGGTTCGGAGAGATAACCAATCAGATTGTAGAAGAGGTGGGTCCAAGCAACTTGAGGAGGCAAGACCAAGCAATCGGACGTCCCATAAGTTCTTATCTGAGAACAGGTAACAGTTAACCTGGAGTCTACCCTTGGGAAGATGGGGAACGTCCAGTATGGCAATGCCAGCTCATTGCAGGGGACTGACTCACTCACATAACTGCCAACAGAGAAACGCCAACTTACTAAGCTATGTATTTTGGATGAGGAGAAGATACAAACTCTGCACAAACAGAGCCAGGTGATGTGTTTTAATCTGAAATCTGATTGGTTGCAAATACTCCCATTACACATACAGCTGCTATAGCCTCGAAACCAATATAGTTTTGTCTAATATTGCCAATGCCTGAAGTGAAACAACTTGCCAGGTTATTAGTAGAATAATATTGCATCGTTTTTTTTTTTTATTCTGTGAAAAACAAAAGATAGATTTGCTGGCCAGATTTAAGAAATTATAAACATGTCACAGGTTGAGTAAACAAAATATTGTGGCACTCAATTGGCGAAGTGATCATGAGGCGGACAATAAAGTTCAGTTTTTAGCAGACTTATTGCACGATCCTTAAAAGGACAGCGGTAAACAGCGGGCGAGAATAAACTCACACACCGGCAGAGGAGCCTTTAAGGAAACGAGAGAATACAGGCAATGGAGACAGGGCTCCACGAATCATACTCAGAAAACCGTTTCTTGGTTCGGCAGCTTACAGAAAACTTAAAATCGGAAACAGTTCAAAATAAATCCAAAAACCAAATACAGACTGACCTTTACTTTACCTTCACTTCTGCCTACATAGCATTTCTGTTCTGTTCTTTTTTGAAACTGGTGGAAACACAGGCAGGTTCTCAAACAGCACCAAGAGAGAACCAGCCCAGCACCAACACCAGAACCAGCTCCATGTTGGTGGAAACAAGACGTTAATCTTCTGTCACATACCACGGTTATTTTTATACACCCCTTCAGTTGCACTTGAAGTCAATCAATCACAGGCTGATGAGCATTTACATTAATTTAGCAAATGCTTTTGTTCAATGTGACGTAAAAGTCTGAGAGCAGAGAGAGCCGGTCCCCAGAGCGATTGGGGTCAAGGGCCTCGCTCACAGGCTCACAGCAATGCAATTACACTGTGACCTTCGGGACATGGCGTCAGATCGCTCATCCACTGAGGTAAATACTCCATCAGGAAAAAAACACCCCCTCCCATTAAGGATTAAATATATTATACATTACTTAAAACTGCATGCAATTTGAACAAACATCTGTGTTATGTTTACAGCCTCTTTGTAGCAGAAGGACTGTAGGTGAAATTATGCCTTTTTGTAGAATCGTGTTTTTGTTGCTATGGTATTACAAGAACACTATTACACATTAAAGCTCGATTTTGTTACACATGAAAAATTTCACTGCTAAAATCTGGCATGTTAGTCTTTGAACTATTGTTTCACGATCAATTTTTTGGATCACTCCTTTGCTAGGTACAATATATACGACATTATCATTTACTGATCTAACCATTTCTTTATAATGCAACAGGGCAATATGTATATAATGCCATCATTAATACTAATACTATGAATAATAATACAGCTAAATTTAATATTTTTAGACTGTTAAAACTGCAAGCCAGCTGGATGTACAGTGCTGACAGCTACCTGATACTTACAGATACCTCAGCAACTGAGACCCATCTGGGCGTTTTGAGCTAAATACCCTGTTAAATTTAAATCGGGTCAGATCGACGGATTCAGGAAATGATGGGCGTGCTCCCAGGACTGCATGAAGCACGTATGATTTTTATTACGAATGCAAGTTTCCATTGAATTGCTTTTTCATGTTATAAAAGCTTTGGGTGAACCCGACTATCCTGTGAACCGATAGATCTTCAACTGAGTAAAAAGTTAAAACACACTCCCGACTTATTTTCAAATGCTGCCATTGAAACAGCATTTCTGGAGGATAACACTGGTGTTCTGTAGCAGAGGCACACCAAGCCTTTCTGATGGTGATTAATACTGACCTTTTCCAACAGCGACTGTAATGTAAAGATATTTCCAAGCCCACAGCACAATACAAAGTCATGAATATTAAAGTTCATTTGGATTTTACTACCAGCTGATTATATTTCTATCTGATCGTATTTTTCTTACTCTGTCACAGTCATTTTTCTGTAATACATTCTTTAAAATCACCCTTAATTGCATTGGATGCTTGTGACCATTTCATAAAATCGTCTGACAATTTAATATGCAATAATCAAAATCCATGTCATTTTCATATCCTCCTACTCGGCCTGCTCTAGCACTAAATTTAAAAAGTCCCCTCGAATCCTTTGCTCTGTCAGTGCTGAGTTTAAGCCTGTCATTTTCCCACTGGCTTTGCATACTGTCGCTAACTGCACAAATCCATTGAGGTGTATAGGCATCCTGTTGGTAGACTGATCTCATTAAGATCGCCATGTTCCCACTGTGCATGCATGGGTTGTGGTGTGGTCATCAGCTCCAGGACGGTTGCTCTTTAATATACTGCATAATTTACAGTGAATTTCTAGACTTGCAGCTTAAAGAAACAATGTGCTCCTGTTGTATTCAGAAGAACTACAGAGATGCTGCAGAGGGCCGCTTCAGTGTCAGGTTATACACCGGACTAGGCAGTGAAAGCATTTACTTACAGAGTGTGTCCCTCATGGAATCAGCCCAATGGGAGGTAATTACTATGCCAGGGCTGTGCTTGCGTGTGCACAGCGACACCTACTGGATAGACGCGATATCTTTAGCGTTTATCTTTTGTTTTTGCCTCTGCAATATATAGCGGCATGGAAAAAATTAAGAGACCACAGCACAATTTTTTGTTTCACTCATTTCTCAATTTATGGGTGTGTGTCTGTGAGTAATATATTTTTATTTGTTGCAAACTCCAGCCTTGCTCTTCCTTGCTTCTCATTAATGAAGGGCTTCTTCCTTGCTTTATGGGACTTCAGTGCTGCTTCTAGGAACGAACTGTCCTAGCAGAGCACTTCACACCTGCACTTAATGTTTCCCATTCCTTTTGAACATCACCTGATGCCATCCTATGATTCATAAGAAACTGTCAGATAAGCTGACAGTCATCTCTGGCAATAGAATGCTGCTTCCGCCCTTTACCTGGCTGGTTTCTGATCATTCCCAGTGTCTCCTGATTCACCTTATTCTTGTGTGATGCTGTCTTAGAAATTTTGAACATGGAAGGAACCTGCTGCTCAGTGTAGCCTTCTGCCAGCAGAACCACGTTTAAATCAGGATTTAAAAATGCAGATTTGTTTAAAAATATAGAGTGGTCTCTTAATTTTGTCCGTGGCTGTGTGTGTGTGTGTTTGTGTGTGTATGTGTACATACATACATACATACATACATACATATTTCTCTTTTGTCACAGAACCTGAAATTCAGCTGCATTCCATGTCCCTCAGCCAGAATGACCATGTAGAGTCGTTGCAATAAGACACACATCTAGGCTAGAAGCTTTTTGCAACATTGCTAGGGACCAAATCAGAGCTCTCAGACATGCACTCTACCCTCATCATGTACGACCTCAGACATCCAGGCGACGTGCGCTGACCTTGGCTCTGACGTTCTCGAAGGAGGCCGGGCTCACCAGGGAGAAGCAGATGAGGAACACGTCCTGATGGGACAGCAGAGGCAAAGGATTTTAGCGCATCAACACACATGCTGGGCTCTGATGGCATCTTTCACATCAAACCTTTGGTGATGTTCAAACTGAAATATATTTAACTGTGCTTTACCAAAGCGGGGCAGTCTTTGTGTTTCCAAACAGGAGGCTAGTAAATGACTAGACATGCACATGAAAAACTTGGTTCAAGTCCCAGAAGGGACCCTTCTCTCATACCCCTCAGCACTTAAAGTTAATTATTTAGCTGTATCAAGAAAAACAGGGCCAGCAAACCCAAATAACAGCGATCTGAATCATAAAGATGTGGGACTTTACTGAGCTGTGCATCTGGGAAAGGGCACCAATCATTTTTCTTCTCTTCCCTTCCCTTTTAGTTTCAATGGCTCTGCAGTCACACGCACTTCTGCTAAAGTGCAAGATTCAGCCAGAGTGATTAAAAGTAATTTAAAAATAAAATCAGGCCGGTTTACCTGAAGCCAAGAACCATGGTCCTGATCCTGTGGTACCTGATCCACAGACAGCCGGTGCGGGTGTGGATTTTTGGGGTGACCTCTCAATCAGCCAATTATTAAATCAGTGGCTTTCAACTCCAATCCTGGGGACCTGGGGGGGCACTGTTATTGGCTGCTTGAGAGGCCATCCCAAAAAGCTGCACCCACACTTGTCATGATGCTGAGGTGTTGCACTATGTGTCCTGGTAAATTATTAGAGGGGAAACCTTCTAATGACAGGGGAAAGGTTTTGAAATTGTTACCGTCTGGGGGTAGGACAGCGGCCTCAGCCTGTCGTAGTCCTCCTGTCCCGCCGTGTCCCACAGTCCCAGGTTGACTGGCTTACTGTCCACCATGACGTTAGCTGAGTAGTTATCAAAGCTACAAATGGACAACAGGGTCAGGTCAGGCCCCAAAAGAGGAGAAGCATCCACGGCCAAAACTGCTGAAGGTGTCAGAGAAGGAAGGAGTGCAACGTAGCTCTTTCTGGGGAATTTCACCTGAAGAACAAATAGCTCCTGCTATTCTGTATTCCCATTAATGCAGCACATGCTGTCTATCGGTGAAATCACACTGAAGATGTACACCAGAGGCGGGCAATGTCAGATCTGGCCAGGCCGTGGGAAAGCTGCCTTTCATTCCCAACAGTCTCTTAATTACTGGCCTTCACTGAGCTAACTGCTAGAGCCTAATCACATTGAAACTTGAACATTTTTACTCATGTTAAGTGAAACTTATGGCTGAGGAATGCATCATGCATATTCATGCAGCACTTTCTAAAAACATGGGGCTATTTTCTCTTTTCCCCTTTATAAATAATAAGATATGTTTATGTTTACATTCATACATTTTCTGTACTGGCTTTTCCTATTCAGGGTCGAGGGGGGCTAGACAGGTTTTTATTACATTATGTCGATCTGACAGGTTTTGATTACATTGTGGGGAACATTTGGTCCCCTCAATATAATATAAACATACCCCCCCCCCACACACACACAGCTATGGGCAAGTTGTAATCTCCAGTTCATGTTAATATATTTTTGGACTGTGTGGGGGGGGGGGAAACCAGAGAACCTGGAGGAAACCCCACGAAGACACGGGGAGGACACGCAAACTCCAAATACACACAGATCTGGGACGGAAACTCGAACCGCAGTCCTAGGGGTGTGAGGCAACAGCGCCCCCTGTTGTGGTTTACATGCATAGCTAATGATTTCCCTGTTAGTCATTAAGCACGCCCACCACAGTGCTTTTGCGTGGAACCACAAAGGCAGCTCTTTTCCTGGGATTGTCTGTGCACCATCAGCGCCTTGTCTGCCGCATCCCAATGGGAAGGAACAAAGCATCGGCGTCACAGGCTCGGAAGCCTCGTTCCTCCCATCGGTTCTGGCAGGTGCTCAGAAATGCGACGGCCAGGAGAGAAGGCTGTACTCACACGGTGGGGATGTACTCGCCCGGGAATGCATTGGTGGTGTAGCTGATGAGCAGGCAGGTCTTCCCCACGGCGCTGAAAACACACAGGAGAGCCACGGGCGCTTAGATGTGTGAATGCAGGTGCACACGTTCGTGCACAAACACCCCTCTCACTTTGATGCTCCATGGAGTTCCTAAACACTCAGACACATGATGATATTTTAGTTCTATTGGTTTAAAAAAACTGGCGAAAAGGTTAAAAAAGTGCATCTCCACATGATCTGTATATTAGCTGTTGTTATCTTTTTGGCAGACTCACAATATGATCTGTTCAGCACGCATGCACGCACACACACACACACACACACACACACACACGTTTGTAATCATATCTTTGTGGGGACTCTCCATTCATTTCTATGGCCATAACCGTAATTCCAACCTTGACAACCTTAACCCCTACCCAGCCCTAACCTTAACAATAAGTAACCAAACACAATATAAGAGCATTTGCATTTTTAGTTTTTTGGTAGCAGTCACAGAAAATTGAGTTTCCCCTTATGGGGATCAGGTCAAAAAAATGGGTATTCATCACATTGTGGGGACATTTGGTAAAGTATATCTGGGCAACACACACACACACACACACACACATCTGAGGGTATGTACAGTATATTCACAGTGCGCTGGTGAACACGCACCTATCGTCCATCCAGCTAGAGCAGTGTATTTATTAATGCATATATCAGCCTTACGAGATGTCCACCGGCGAAGAATCAGTTAATCGCAAAAGAAGAACGCACATTCGTTCTTACAGGAGAAGTTTGGCAGCAAAAAAAGGAACTGCATTCTTCGGAGGCCAACGGTAACAGACCTCAGGGAAAGGCAGTCAAGAAAAATACTGAAAAAATACCTTGGGGGGTGGGGGAGGGACTCTGTAGCACTGCACCCTCACACCTGCAGGGCTGGGAGTTTGAGTACTGCACAGATCTGCATTGATGTGTGGAATTTGCACCCCCCATATTAGAACTGGTTTCTTCCTACAATCCATATCCATGACATGTGGATTATTGTCTGTAAACTGACCTTAGTGTAGAGGTGCCCAGGAACCCCACAGACGGTATGCCCTGCCTCATGCCCTGTGGTATGCCCTGCCTCATGCCCTGCGGTATGCCCTGCCATATGCCCTGCGGTATGCCCTGCCATATGC